AAAGCAACATACTGCAGATGCTGGAAATCTGAAACAAAGACCGACAATGCTGGAGAAACTCAGCAGGTCTGGCAGCTTGTGCAAACAGAGTTTACGTTTCGTGACTGTTGTGAATGTTCTTCAGAAATGTTTACTCTGTTTTTTCCTCCGCTGATGTAGCCAGGTCTGTTGGAGTTTATTCAGCCAGGTCTGTAGTCTCCACAGGCAGTGACCAGCTGTGGGGCCCACCACAACTCTTAACAGGTGACCCTTTTAACAAACTTGTCCCATGAATAGACTTATTGGAATCTCATCATTCTCCCCAGCCACCATTCAATTGAAAGGCAGGGTGTTTGAAGGTGATAGCAAAGTGGTAACTGCACTGAAGATATTAGCCAGAGCACAGGGTCCGAATTCCATTGTGGCTGATGGTGAAAATTAATTCAAAAAATTCTGGAATTAGATAATTAGGCTCAGTAACAGAGACCATGAAATTATAATTGACTGCTGGAAAAACCCATCTGGTTCACTAATGTCCTTTAGGGAAGGAAACTGCCATCCTTACTTGGCCTGGCCTACATGTGACTCCAGACCCACAGCAATGTGGTTGTTTCTTAACTGCCCTCTGAAACTATCTATTTCAAGGGGAATTAGGGATGGGGAATACAAATAGGCCTTGCCAACAAAACTCACATCTCAGGAACAAACAATGAAAACAAAGAGAGACAACATGTCAGAAGTGGAAGGCACACAAGCTGCAGACCTGGCACCAATGGGAAATGTAATTACACGCATCTTAAGTGATGCTTGCTTTCCCAAATAGCTCTGACCTTTACCCTCACCTGTGGTTTTAGTCAAAAGGAGTTACTTTTACATAGCAACTTTCACAAATACAAGATGATCCAACTGCCATACAGTCAATGAAGTATTTTTGAGGAAGTCACTGTTGTAAATAGAACTTGCAATTTGTGCAGAGCAAGATCGGAAAACAGTCAGTGACAATAAGCACATGTGGACCAAGTGATAAACATTGGTCAGAGCATTACTGAGAACACACAGATCACAGAGATCTATAGCACAAGAAAAGGCCCTTCGGCCCATTTTGTCTGTACCAGTCAAAAACAACTACGTCACTATTCTAATCCCATGTCACGCCACTTGGACCAAAGCCTTGGTATCGCAAGTTCACATCCAAATCCTTCTTCAATGTGATGAGGGTCTCTGCCTCTCCCACCCTTACAGGCAGTGAGTTCCAGGTTCCCATCACCCTCTGGGTGAAAAGGGTTTTCTGACATTCTTCCTAATCCTCCTGCTCCTCACTTAAACCAATGCCCCTTGAACCCTACCATTGATCCCTCCACCAAGGAGAAAAGTATTTTCCTGCCTACCCTGTCTATGCCCCTCGTCATTTTATACATCTCAATCATGTCCCCTCGCAATCTCCTCTGCTCTGAGAAAAACAATCCCAGTCTTTTCAATCTCTCTCCATCACTGAAACTCTCCAGTCCTGGCAACACCCTGATCAATCTCCCTCTGCACCCTCTCCAGTGCTATCACATCCCCCTACAATGTCGATTCCTGAACTGCACACAATGCTCTCGCTGTGACCTAACCAACATCTTACGTACAATCACTTTCTGCTCTTAAACTCTAGCTTCAGTTAATAAAGGCAAGTATCACTTATGCCTTCCTAACCACTTTGTCTACTTTAAGGGCCAGCTGACACATACACCAAGATCCCTCTGATCCTAGGTGCTTCCCAGGGTCCTATTAATCATCATGTATTCCATTGCCTATTTGTCTTGTCCAGGGATATCATCTCACACTAATCTAGATTAAATTCCATTTATTTTTATTCATTCGTCAAATGTGGGAATCGCTGGCTGGGCCCAGCATTTATTGCCCGTCCCTAGTTGCCCCTTGAGAAGGTGGGGGTGAGCTGCCTTCTTGAACCGCTGCAGTCCATGTGCTGTGGG